TGGGGGCGCTCGCTCCTGGAAGGGGTGTGCGGGATCCGGGGTGTCTGCGCCCCCGGTTGAGAGCCCTGGGAGAACTGGCTCCGGCTCATTCCTTGTTCTGTAGCTGCCAATAGTCATGACCTGGGACAGTTCCCCACCCGCCCGTGAGAATGCCCCCCCACTAAATGGGGACATTTTCTCTTAACCGTTCCGCTGCCCCGGCCGACCTCCCTGGGGAAAGGAGGCCACTCCGGTGAAACGTCTGCGGCAATCGGTGAACTCCAGGCAGAGGCCACGGGGTGCCACTGTTGCTCGCGTCTGATGGCCACTGGGTGCTGCTGATCGATTGGGGAGGCGGCGGGTTCCTGAATGGAGGCGGGCGGACAGGCTTTCTCATTCTCAGCTCAGCCTGGAGAACCTTCCCTGACCTTTGAAAAATGCTCAGAGCTATCTGCCTGTGAGTCAGCACAACCTAGGGCTCCCTGCATTGGTTGGTAGGTGAGAGTGGGAAAGCCCACCGCTGGCTGTTTTATATGCTCGTAAATGGTTTTACCATCCATACCTTTGGAACCTGGGCTGCCCTGAGGACAGTTTTATTGTTCATCACATAGGGACGTTGCCATATGCCATAATGGTTAGGAGTTACAAGCTGATGTCATTCATAAAAGATGGGAGGTAGGAGCCTGTGCCAAGAATACATTTAACACATAGCAACTTCAACCTAATTATATTTGAATGTGTTATTGTGGAGAGTAAATTATGTTGGGTCTTGGTTTTTAAAGAGATGGCTGTTTTTGAAGCATGTTAATTACCCACATTTATATACAGGTATACATTGACTAATTTCTTTAATGTCTTAATCCGAAGGAAGCCTGGGTGGAGAGAGGTAAATAGGATCTGGCGCTCAGAAGATAACAGTAACATAACAGGAAGTGTGCAAAGGAGAGATAGGGATTTAGTTCAATTCAGCAAACATCTACTGAGCCCTAATTTCTGCTGTATACAGCCAAGGGAATAATACCAGGGTGAATGTGACATGGTTCTTTCCTTGTCAAGTCCGCAGGCCCACGTTTGAAAATTTTTACCTCCTTACAAAGGGTATACACTGAAAAATAAGGGCTGAGATGAAGTGCATTCAGGCAGCAGTGATGCAGTAAAATCCTATTTTTGTGAAATGAACTAGAAATCAAAATTACAGGTTGAGCCCCGGCCGGTGGGCCTCAGTTTGTTGGGCATCCTCCTGTGCACTGAAAGGTTGCCTGTTCCCCTGTCAGAGCACATGCCCAGGTTGCAGCTCACACTGTTTCTACCCTGGCATTTTCTCATAACACCATCAGCCACCTAGGGGCAAAACCCTGGAGGTCAAACTCATTGTTCCTGCCCTAGCTAGTAAACACCTTTTCTAGTTTCTTTCATGTGTGTTTGTTTGTTTTTGTTGATCTACCCTGGAGTCAAAGTGTAAGAATGTATTAATTGCAAATTTGGGTAAATCATCTAATCTTGTCTCTGTGCCTCTGTGTCATCATCTCCAGAATGGATTTACTTAGTAGGTGTATCTCATGGGCTTGCTGAGGGAATTAAGTGAGATAAAGTATACGCAACCCTTAGAACAGTGCCTGGCAAATGTATAGTGTGTGATCTATCCTTGACATTATCCCCTTGTATTGAAGGTTTCTACAATCTTCATCTCTTCCATGGGCCAGTTTCCTTACTGGTAACATTGGAAAGTTATAATTATCTTCAAAGTTGTTTTTTTTTATTCTAACATTCTTTTGAGCCAAATTTGGCCTGGAGAGACCCCTGCTCTACTAAGTGAAAAGCTTCTTGTGAGCAGGTATTACCTTTCTCACTCTGGTACGCTTCATGTACAGAACCTCAATTAAATGTGCTGGTTTTAATTTAATTCACTTACTCTGAAGCTGCAGTTGGAATTTGGAGCAGCCTCCCTCTGCTTTCTTGCTTCAACAAATATTTACCCCAGGAAGGAAATCTGCCTGATTTGTGTTTTTCAGGAGATTATTTGTTCAAAATAATGATTTGACTCAGTTGAGGCATTAGTTTCCTGGCCTGCTCAGAATCAAAGCTAGCAATATTTGATTTGATTTGATTGATTTTCAGAGAGGAAGGGAGAGGGAGAGAGAGAGAAACATCAATGATGAGAGAATCATTGATCAGGTGCCTCCTGCACGCCCCACACGGGGGATCAGAGCCCACAACCCTGACTGGGAATTGAACCTTGACCTCCTGGTTCATAGGCTGATGCTCAATCACTGAGCCACGCCAGCCAGGCTAAGCTAGCAATATTTTAAAAGCTACTAACTTGGATAGTAAGCAGTCAAGAAAAATACTGAGATAATTTTATTTGCATTTAGTAAAAAGCTACTGTTAGAGCTGAGTTTGTAAAAGCTTGATTTTCAAAAGTATAAGTAAACCTCAGAACAAATTGATTTTTAAAAATATTACCTTACATACTTGTGAAAAATAAGCATTTCTCGGTTGTGGACTTATGACTAATGAAAGGCCTAATTGTGTTCTCTTTAAAATGGCAGTGTATGATTTGAAATAACTTTAATGGGCACCATTGTTGATATTCCTGTTTATCCTGTTAGATGTAATATGATTTCATGTGAGAATAAAGCCATTGGCTTTTAGACTTTGACATTTACTCTAAATTTGATTTTAAATTTTGTTAGGCCTCTTTGTTCACTTGCTCATTCTTTCTCCTTTGCCCTTCCTCATCTGATTCCACTATATCCGTGGTCGGTAAACCGCGGCTCGGGAGCCACAAGCGGCTCTTTGGTGCCTTGGGTGTGGCTCTCCCACAAAATACCACGTGTGGGTGGGCACGTACAGTGCGATTGAAACTTTGTGGCCCATGTGCAGAAGTCAGCATTTTGTGGAAGAGCCACACTCAAGGGGCCAAAGAGCCACATGTGGCTGCCGAGCCGCAGTTTGCCGACCACTGCATATCAAAGGAAATTATCTACTTACTTAGACCCTTTAATAATAGATGATGATCCTTGGATTTTAAGTGTACATATTGGATGCTATTTTCATATCCCCAGTGCCATTGCCTTATATTATCCATACAAATTAGACATTTGGACCTTTGATGGTCTGAAAGCAGAACTCCAGTTTTCCTTCCAACAGAGTCAGTGTGAGGATTAAATGAGACTGTAGATTTTTTTTAAAATTACCATTTCTATTTTATTATTTTGAATAGGGAACATTTATTTAATGTTTATTCTGAGTTCTGGTTTATAGTTAATCCTGTAAGAACCATTTGAGGTAATTATTATCATCACCTCCATTTTACTGAAAATTGAGTCTTTTGGGAGATTATTGATGTTGTATAGGGTCATGTAGCTAGCATATGGTGGAGCCAGGATTTGAACCCCTTCCTTTAGAGCCCATACTCTCAACCATTTACTGTTTCATTCAACAAATATATATTAGCACCTGTTATATAGCAAGCACTGTAAAAATACTTTGCAAAAGATAAAGCATTGCCCTGACCGGTCTGGCTCAGTGAATAGAGTGTTGGCCTGCGGACTGAAGGGTCCCAGGTTCTATTCCAGTCAAGGGCATGTACCTTGGTTGCGGGCACATTCCCAGTAGGGGATGTGCAGGAGGCAGCTGATCGATGTTTCTCTCTCATCGATGTTTCTCTCTATCCCTCTCCCTTCCTCTCTGTAAAAAATCAATAAAAATATATTTTTAAAAAGATAAAGCATTATAGAAAGTAATTATTGCTTCCTCACTTCTCCTTCCTTAACGGCTTAAAGGAGTTGTGGTACTGTGGTACTGTGTTGGCCTCTGTCTCCATGATGGGCCCAGAATTTCTTAAGAAAATGGTCTGTGCATCCCCAGTGTCCAGACAAGTGCCTAGTGCCTGAAACAGACTATGACTAAGTACACATTTCATGACTGAAGGGCCCCGGGTTTGATTCTGGTCAAGGGCACGTGTACCTCGGTTGCAGGCTCCTCCTGGCGCAGGCCCTAGTCGGGGTGTGTGCAGGAGGCAACCAATCAATGAGTTTCTCTCACATCGATATTTCTCTGTCTTTCTCTCTTCCACTCTCTCTAAAAATCAATGGAAAAATATCCTCGGGTGAGGATTAAAATAATAATAATAATAATCAAAAAGATCACTGAATCCTGTGGTGTTGAATTTTCATACAGTAAAGAGCAGGATAATAAATGGCTTCAGTAATTTATTTCAGTTAGTGATGTAAATTATATGTCAAATGACCCATGTTTTTGCTTTCACTGTTCACTTTTAACTACTGGTATATTCTGTTACCATCTTAGCACCCTCCCTTCACCTTCTCTATTTAAAAAATTCACTAGGTTTTCATTGGTACTTTGTTATATACCTTTGACTGTGACATTTCTCCAATGAAAAACCTATTCCCGATTACTTCAGATTTTGAGATGGAGGAAGACGGGATCCTTATGTTCTGTCTTGCACAGAGTGACGTGAGTAGGTATGAGACACTTGACCCCTAGCCAGTGACTCATTGTGTTCATTAGGATTCCTTAGAAAAAAATTGGTGGGGAGGAAGGATAATTGACTTTACTCTACATTTAAATCCTCCTTCTGCAAATATTAAAGGGAATATATAAAATGAAATTAATAAATGAAATAAAGAGATGTCAGAAAATTTTCTTTAGTTTCTATTTTTTCACTCTTGGCAATTGAACACAGACATTTGAAACTTGTAGTTCCTCTTGAGAGAATGTTGAATAAAGGGAATAAAAGAAAAATATATGCATATGGCAACAACTAAGTCATTAAATTTACTATTAAAATTTTGTGGCTATAGTAATATTCACATTTGTTTCTAGCAGTGGGGATTTGTAAAGGTCCAGGAAACTAAAGTTCAATAGAGACTAGTTCACCTCTCCAGAATAGCTTTTTGATTTTAGTTATCATTCATTTAAAGTCTAAATGGGCAATTGTGTTAGCTGTGGTTAATAGAGCTGTTAAGCTACTAGTATACTCTCCTGAGCCAATAAGGTCCTGTTCTAATTGTTACCAAATGGATTGTAACCCAGTCTATTATGTTCAGATATTTGTATGTATACCCATTGTTAATTGGAGAAAAAAAAGAGTTGCACATTTTTGTTATTTTGAGCCCAGACTTATCATGTAGTCTCTTCTAAGCTTGAAATTTTCAGCCTCATGGCTTGGCTGAAAATCTTTTTCTTAGCAAGTATATTAAAATACTTTATAAAATATTTTAAATTTGGATGAGGAATAAGAAACAAGATCATTTTTGTTTTCTTTAGATTTGAGCTTCTAGAGCTAGTGTTTTGCTTAATATACCAGTATCCTTAAAAGTACCAAGTATCTTTATTTCCAATTTTATGAAACTATAATTTAGAGCTACATAAATGCTATTTATATAAGTAACAATATATGTTGTATGTAGTGTAAATATTTCTATGTATAAATATAAACAAATCTAGGACATTTACTTAGATATTTAAAAATACTGTTTAAAATATAAATAAATAAATAAAAGTACTGTTTATATTTAAAATACTGTATTTTTTAAATTTTATAGTACTTTGGATCTGTAACATTTTTAAAAAAATATATTTTATTGATTTTTTACAGAGAGGAAGGGAGAGAGATAGAGAGTTAGAAACATCTATTAGAGAGAAACATCTATCAGCTGCCTCCTGCACACCTCCGACTTGGAATGTGCCTGCAACCAAGGTACATGTCCTTGACCAGAATCGAACCTGGGACCTTTCAGTCCGCAGGCCAACGCTCTATCCACTGAGCCAAACCGGTTTCTGCTGTAACATTATTTTGATGATACAAAAACTATTCTAAAATTATGTAAGCTGTATTTTAGGGTTTTAGAGCTCCTTTTTATCTTTAATGATTTCTTTTAGTGATTTGGCTTTATTTATTTGTTCTTTTTAATATCTATACAGTGTGTGGGTTTCAACGGACCATGATGAAATTGAGAATGTGGCCAAGCAATTTGGTGCACAAGTTCATCGAAGAAGTTCTGAAGTTTCAAAAGACAGTTCTACCTCATTAGATGCCATCGTAGAATTTCTTAGTTATCACAATGGTATGAGTTTAATAGTATATTCAAAATTTTATGTAATTTATAACTTGCTTGTCAGTTCACAAGACTTGTTTTAACATTTGCATATAAGATTACTGTCTTGCAAAGAACTTTATTCTGATGTCCTTTTGTTTTGTCTTTTTAAAGAGGTTGACATTGTAGGTAATATTCAAGCTACTTCTCCATGTTTACATCCTACCGACCTTCAGAAAGTTGCAGAAATGATTCGAGAAGAAGGATATGATTCTGTTTTCTCTGTTGTGAGGCGCCATCAATTTCGATGGAGTGAAATTCAGAAAGGAGGTAATTTGTTATGTCACTATTTTAGCTCATTTTATGGAGAATCAGTTTTTCATATACAAATATTCTTTAGGAGTGAGGAGAGTAAAAAGGAGCAGTAAAATAAAACATGATTCTTAACCCTAGTAGGTAATGACATTTATAATCAGTTCTCAATCTTGTGATTACTGAGAGAAGACAGTGAGTCAAAAATTAATTCTTTGCTTTATTTTTATAAAGGAACATTTTAACCCTTTATTTGCCTTTTCAGATTGACGTAATTTTTCTAGATCAAGTACTTTTATGTTTGTTCTAGACATGTTTGATAATCTCCATATAAATCATATAGAATTATGGGAATAGATAGCATCCACCAAAGAGTTTTGGTGGACCTCAATAATGAATTGTGTAGTTACTTCCCAAAATATGTTACTCCTTTATGTAAGAAGAGTTCCATAGTGTTTAAGTAGAGCCTGATTTCTAGCCAGATAAATTAGCAAAATATGTAATAAAGAATAGAATCACCAACAAATAGGTAAATATAACATACTTAAGAAAGGCATTGTGATTTCTGTTATGTGCCTTTTGTTGAGTGTAGAAAAGCTGGTCTCTAACATATGTGTAATTTAAGATGTTATTCTTTTGAAGATGTATCTTTAGCATGTTATTTCATTATCTTCTATCATCCATTGTTTCTTATAAGAAATCAGTTGTAATTCTGACCATTGTTTCTCTGAATATGATTTTCTTCAGGCTACTTTTAAGATTTTCTGTTTATCTTTAGTTTCTATAGTTTGACTCTAATATGTATTGTTGCGTTTTCTTTGTGTTCACCCTGTTTGAAGTTCTCTGAACTTTTCATATCTATGGATTGATATATGTCATCAGCTTTCAAAAATTCTCTTCAGATATTTCTTCAGCCACATTTCCTCTCTCCTCTTTTTCTGGACTCCAATTTAAACGGATTTTAAACAATTTTATAGTGTTCACATGTCTCTCATAGTCTGTTCTATATTGTTTATTTTTCTCTTTGTGCTTTATTTTGAGTAATTTTGATTGACTTATATTTGAGCTCATGTATCATTTCTTCTAACTTGTCTTGTGTACTCTAAATTATGTCCATTGAATTATTTCAAATACTGTGTTTACCTATTATAGAATATACCTTTAAATTATTTTTTAGAGACTCCATTCTCTGTTAAAATGTTCCATCTTTTTATCCTTATTTTTTTTCAAACTATAAGAGAATATCCTTCCTATATAATAAATGGCTAATATGCAAAATGTCCCCTTGGGAGTTCAACCGACCGGGGGTTCGACCGCTTGCTATGACATGTGCTGACCACCGGGGGCGGTGTGGAACAAAGGAAGGTCCCACCAGCAGTTGGGGAAGGAAGGCCCCAATCAGCCCTGATTGTTGGCCAGGCCTAGGGACCCTACCCATGCATGAATTTCATGCGCCGGGCCTTTAGTTTATTTAGGAAATCACAGAGGTAAAAGTGATTTGTAGAAGAAATAGGCTTAAGAAACAAGTTATAGAGGCAAAAGAAGGGCCCTTGGAACTTAGAAGTGAGGAAGGTAAAGGTGACCAGACTGGGGGTGGGGGGAGCAGGTGTTGAGGGAGGCACTGGTATGCTCAAGGAGGGAGAGCACCTCATTCTTTTTTTAAAAATCTTTTTTTCTAATTTCTTTAAGATGTTCATGATAGTTATTTGAAAGTCCTTGATTGTAACATCTGGGTCATTTATAGTTCTGTTCCTGTGATTTCTTTTCTGATTAGGGGTCATGTATTTCTGCTTCTTTATATGTGTCATATTTTATCATGTGCCAGACATAGAGACTGAAATATATATTATTTTCCTCCAGGGAGGACAAACCTTTTCTTCTATCAGGCTGATAGGATAAGGGGATAATCCAGCCGTGGGCAAACTACGGTCCGTTTGAAATGAATAAAACTAAAAAAGAAAAAGACTGTACCCTTTTATGAATTTATATTAGTTCACACAAACACTCCATCCATGCTTTTGTTCCGGCCCTCTGGTCCAGTTTAAGAACCCATTGTGGCCCTCGGGTCAAAAAGTTTGCCCACCCCTGGGCTAATCACTTTGCTCTAATTAGGAGTTGGGCAGTGTTGTAACTATAAAAATTCTTCTGGTTTCTCCTTATTCCATCAGAGTTCCTCTGCTTATGCCAAGCTTGATCTTTCTCTTACCTCTTTCTCAGACTGAGCAAATAACCCCAGTGGGAATTCAGCCACTGATCCTTGTTCACATAGGAAAGACTTGTCCCTCTCTTCTCTTCAAAGTACCACTTGAATTATCTTGTTTATTTGCTTATTGCCTATCTCCACAACTAGATTGCACATTCCATGAGACTAGAAGGAGTTATGTTCACTGTTGTGTATCCAATGCCTATAAAACTATACCACATATTTCAATATATGTTTGCTGAATTTTTTTCCAAATTATACCAAACATTGAGGTGGAGTTGAGCAGAGGATGGTTTCGTTAGGGAAGCATGTAGAGGTTATTCCTAGAAGCCTTTATATACAGAAGTGACAACCAAAAGTGAAGAAAGATTCTGAAGAATCTCCAGTTATTAAGCACACACACACAGCACAAGTATATACATACTTGTACACATCCACAAACACAATTTAGGAAAAACTAAGTGAAAAGGCAAAGGAATTCCTATATACCAGTACTGAGGGTGTCATTTATTATATTGTGTTATGATAATTAATGTTGATATTGCTGAGCCTTCATTACCAAGAATAATAATAAATGTCATTTATTATTATGGTTAGTTTCTTTTTTAACCACTGGTAAAAATTCATAGTACATTATATATTCATTTTTGTCACTATAAAAGTTTTGGTAATTTAATAGGGAAATCTTCATTTTTCTATAATAATTCCATGACTGTCATTTCTCAACCACATTAGCTGAACAATGCATACATTGTATTTCTATAGAAACAAATAATGATAAATAGTTTAAAGGGGTCAGTTATTGATTATGGGTAGTTTATGGCAAATCCGTTTTTTGACAACTTTAAGGTTTCCCTGATGTCCTCCCAAAGCATTATATTTATATAAATACTTTAAAGTATTAATTATGCAGAATTCCACTGTGAAATACTTTATCTTTCTATTATTATTGCTTTTATTAGAAAACAAAGATAAGTCATCAGAATTATTATGGATTTTATTTAAATCCTTTTAAATATTTATCTAGATACAGAAATATTCTACATTCTGAGTTCATTTTTATGCTTTTTAAAAAATTACTAAATGAATAATGTTAGTATCCAAAGCAATGTGGACTTAATATAGCTTTTTGCTTTTAGTTCGTGAAGTGACTGAACCTCTGAATTTGAATCCAGCTAAACGACCTCGTCGACAAGATTGGGATGGAGAGTTATATGAAAATGGCTCATTTTATTTTGCTAAGAGACATTTGATAGAGATGGGTTACTTACAGGTTTGTGCCTTCATTTTAAAAAACCTTTGAAACCCTTTTGTGGTATACTTTGAGTTTCAGGAAGAGGTATGGCACAGTTCATAAAGGAAAATACCAACCTGTAGAGCAGCGGTTCTCAACCTGTGGGTTGTGACCCCTTTGGTGGTCGAACGACCCTTTCACGGGTTGCCTAAGACCATCCTGCATATCAGATATTTACATTACGATTCATAACAGTAGCAACATTACAGTTATGAAGTAGCAACGAAAATAATTTTATGGTTGGGTCACAACATGAGGAACTGTATTTAAAGGGCCAGAAGGTTGAGAACCACTGCTGTAGAGGAAAGGCATAACTGACAAGATTTATTATCTCAGCATTTATCCTGCAGGCTTACCCCAGACTGATCTTTGGGATTCAGTAAATATGCAAGGAATTCTGCTACAACTATCTATCTATATAAAAGCCTAATATGCAAAGTGTCCTCTCGGGAGTTCAACCCACCGGGAGTGACATGCGCTGACCACCAGGGGGTGGTGCAGAACAAAGGAAGGCCACGCTGGCAGCCAGCAGCCACTAGGGACCCCACCTGTGCACAAATTTTGTGCACTGAGCCTCTAGTAACTTTATAATAAGAAATGAATCAAATATTGAATGTTCTACGCTTGTCCTGGTATGCATATTATTCCATTCAAAATTTTAATTTATGGTTGTGTTACTGTCAGGTTGTAGTTGTACAGTTGAATAACTTCTGTTGCTTTAAAAAGAAACAAAAAGTATAGTAAAGGTGAAACAGCACCAACCTGGACATCAGGAAAATCGATTATAGTTCTGTCTCTATCCTTATGTAATCTTGAATATATTATTTTATCTGTTCTTGCCCTTATTTTAAAATAAGGAGGTTGGGTGTTTCATCTTTTAGAGCTTAATGTTTACATCATATACTATTTTTTTCATTGTAGTTAAAGCTATTACTTATTCAGCACTTACCAAGGACTATATGAAACACTACATAGGATATCTCTTGTAATCTGCATAGCAACAGAATAAAGTGGACATTCCTAGCCCAATTTTTCAGAGGAAGAAGTGGCAGCTTTGAAAAATGAAGTAAATGGCCCAAGGCAAAAACAAGTAGTAAATGGTATTGTCAGGATTTGGATTCAGATTCTTATGTTACTCAAAAATAGCGTTTAAAAAAACACACCCTGCCGAAACCGGTTTGGCTCAGTGGATAGAGCGACGTCCTGCAGACTGAAGCGGCCCAGGTTCGATTCCGGTCAAGGGCATGTACCTGGGTGGCGGGCACATCCCCAGTAGGAGCTGTGCAGGAGGTGGCTGATCGATGTTTCTCTCCCATCGATGTTTCTAACTCTCTATCTCTCTCCCTTCCTCTCTGTAAAAAATCAATAAAATATATTTTTTAAAAAAAACACACACCCTAAAACTCCACTCTCTCTATAGTAGAAATTCTAATGTGACTCATGCTCTGAAGGAAAAGTGTTTTTCCAATCTTCTGGTCAGTGTTTAGGCAAACTGTAGGCTGGCTATTTAGTTAAGTTTGAGTGTTAAAGAAAATTTGATTTGACAGATAGGGACACCACCCTCCCTAACTGGTTTGACCCTTTCCTAAAGTGTGAAGAAAATGAAGTCTTTCATCATAATTTGTGAAGAGATTAGCAATTCTTGCCCCCATATCTCGGGACCGGGAAACCATCCCTATCTTTGCCCACGTATGACTCAGACAGTATTGCCCACTTCCATCTGGAGCACAGGGATCTAAGACAATTCTATACACTAGATACTCCAGTTATTTTTTCCTTTTCTATCTTGCCCCTTAGTTTCAAATAGGAACAAATTCCGAAAACATTTCTATTACCTTTGAATTATGAGAGAGATTGCCAGAACAGAAAATTCCTGTGGTTAGAAAACTGGAGGATGGGTATTTTCAATTTTTGCAATCTTTTAAAGTAATCTATCCAAAGGAAAATGAGAACTTGCACTGTGGATAAAAGTTGAAAAATGTTAAAGTTAAAAGAAAAATGTAAAAGTTACTTGTTTTATGTAGTTTGAATATATAGGAAACAAAAAGATAAGCTTTTCCCTCAAAAAAAGGGGATTTGTTATATGTCATTAATATTACTGGGTTATTCATTTTTCTCAATACTGTAGAAATGAATTCATTGTTCTATATTAGAAACTTTTCAATATATGTGAATGCATGTAAAAACCAGCACTCATGGCATTTGTACTATGTTTAGGGTGGAAAAATGGCCTACTATGAAATGCGCGCTGAGCACAGTGTGGACATAGATGTGGATATTGATTGGCCTATTGCGGAACAACGAGTATTAAGGTAAAAACAAGACTTATATGGCCTTTGCACAAGACTAACAATATTGTTAGTAGATATGTTAATTGTACTTATGAACACTGATTTGTGATACTCCAACCATCTAAGGATCTGTGTAATTCGTTTGCTCATGTGAGGAAGACATATTCATAAACTATTCCTTTAAATGACTTACTCAATACGTTGAGAAACACATAGTCCACTTAGACCACACTACTTATTCTCCACTGTAAGTTCAAGTGTATTTGTGAAGTGAATATGAAGGGTACTTCTGAATAATTGGATGGGAATGGGTTAAGTTTCCTGGCGTGAGAGACAGTGACTAGTATTGCACTTCTATTCAAAGGTCTTTTTGGTTTCTTTTAGATATGGCTATTTTGGCAAAGAGAAGTTTAAGGAGATAAAACTTTTGGTTTGCAGTATTGATGGATGTCTCACCAATGGCCACATTTATGTATCAGGAGACCAAAAAGAAATAATATCTTATGATGTAAAAGATGCTATTGGCATAAGTTTATTAAAGAAAAGTGGTATTGAGGTATGTGCCCCTGAATACAGCATTGTTTTTTAAGATTATCATTCAGGGTCAAGGAATATGTAAGGGAAATGAGATATACATTTTTAATATCATTTATTAAAATATCTGAAATTTAGCCTTCACATGCCTAGAAAATTATCATACTATTTAATTTTAGATGAACAAAATGTCAACTAACAAGTAAATGTTTATTTAATAAGTATGAACGTATTATTTTTATATAGGTGCTTTCTAGTTGCCATAGGGTCTTGCAACAAGAAAGATTTAATAAAAAATAAGTGTCAGTATTTAAAAATAAAGCAAATATCTTATGAACTTTAAAATGTAGCTTATTCTTATGATTAAAAATTTTAATTTATAATAGCTTAATATTTATGTGTATTTAAAAAAATGAAGGCTAAGATGATTTTTCATAATTGACTAGAACTTTTACATGTGTGTTTCTTAAGCAGCACAAGAAACATATTATAGACTTTTCTTTGGGTAAATTGAATTATAGGAGAATCTTAAATTGGCTTCAGACAGTGTATGTTGCACTTTTCACCTGTAGGTAGAATCCTTTCCACAGTAGAAAACTGTCTTTCACCTTTACGGGTCTACTTAGACATAGTAGAATTTGTTCTTCAAAAGGTCAAAGGACTACTCAGTTGTGACTTGTATTGTTTACCAAGGCATTATCTTATTCTGAAAGATTTCTGTTTCTCTTATTTTCTCCTTTTTTTTTTTTAAGGTGAGATTAATCTCAGAAAGGGCCTGTTCAAAGCAGACACTCTCTTCCTTAAAACTGGATTGCAAAATGGAAGTCAATGTACCGGACAAGCTAGCAGTTGTAGACGAATGGAGAAAAGAAATGGGCCTGTGCTGGAAAGAAGTGGCATATCTTGGTTGGTATCTTTTCATTCAGCCATAATAAAATGAATCAGGATTTAAAAAAATAAAGAAATAAGAGAGAAAATTTCCACAATTAGCATGATTATAAAGAAATAGAAACTCTCTTACACTACCGACAAAAGAATTAAATTGGGACAGCCCTTCTTGAGGTCACTTTAATAACATTTATCAAGTGTAGCCTAGAGGAGTGATTACCAACACATGCTGTGGAGTCAGACCACAATCTTCATGCCAGTTTTGGTAAGGAAAGCCTAGGTTTCCTCATCTGTAAACTGGAACTGTTAAAAGTACCTATTGTCATTGGCCTATTACCAATGATATAATGTGGGTAAAGTATTTAGCAGATTCCTAATATATAAAATGTACACTCTGAATATTTTTAGCTATTATTAAATGTACATCATTTTTTTGTTTGTTTGCT